ACTTAATTTCAATTTTAAATTCAAATTTAAAATAAACGCATAAGAAATACGAAGAAATTTCACTTCATTTGCAAACAATACTCGCACATTTCTAAATATAAAAATGTTTATACGACTCGCTTCCTTGTCCCATAATGAGGCAGAAAAATCGCGCACACTTCAGCCTGTTAATTAATTTAAAACAAGTTAAAAGGTTATTAACCTTTTAATCGAACAACCCCAAACAATCAAGCACTCGAAAGTTGATCGTTGATCAAACGATTCGGCTGCCAACCAACGATCGATGCTCTCGCGCTTTTTGCCCTATCTATCCAACTTGATCCAATTACTCTCTTACCAGCTGCGCTACTGGAGAAATACGAAAAGAAATGCGCTCGAAGAAAGAGATTATTATCTCGAGGCTACGCAGAAATCGCGTCGCAGGAGGCTGACGTCGCGAATTTCCGCGAATTCCCGTGGGAGGAGGGGGAGGGGAGGGGAACGGTCGGTTCGAAATAGCCAAAGGACGGTTTCAAAAGCGAGTGAACGAGTGTCGCGGAGAGTCATAGCCGTCCCGAATACGAATACACGGCGATCGAAACGCGGCGAGTAAATTATGCAAAGCGAAAGTACCCACGTAAGAGCGGGTTGCGCAAAAGGCCTCGTAAGAAGAACGCCCGTAACGTCGGCTCGTAATGTCGTCGGATTCGCGATGACGAGAAAACAAATTTCGCGCCGCTTCCAAATCGACCAAGATTCGGATTTCTCCGCCCATCTTGTACCGTTTCATCTGCTCGATCGAGTTGTTCCCTCGATTAAAAAAAGTCTAAAAAGACGAGAATTCTTAATTTTCGAATCAGGAACATTCGTATTGATGTTTTAGTCGAAATCAAACGCACTAATATCTTGTATTTTGATTATAAATTGGACTCGAAACTGATTAATCCGACGTAAGGTTCTATTATTTTCGACAATGTCGATCTTTTATTAAAAGAAGAGAAATATTTTGTTAATCAGAAATATAAGAAGAAAAAATATGATAGGAAAATATTTAATTGGCAACTTTTTCAAGAAACATCAACGATACTGATAGAGTTTGAGATTCATCCTTTCCTTGTTGAATAGGTCAGTTTTGTTGTTATAATAATTTTCCTTATAGGTCAGACAAAATGTATATGGATAACGAAAATGAAAGATAGAGAAATTATCGGGAAATATTTACTAAACCGCTAACTAAAAAATTAACATTTAACGAGCTTGGGGTCAAAGTATTTGCGGATATTTAAAAGTGAACTAAGTTCAATAAAATTCACGATAATCGGAGT